TTTTTATTATCTTTTTTACCATCATTACTTATGTTTCTCATACCTTGTTATCTGGTTATTTTCTTAGCCCTGATGAAGGCCTGAACATCAGGTCGAAACGTCGGCATATGTAAAAAATAAATATTATAATTTATTTTTTGCCTTCCTTTTTGACTCAACACCCCAACTATTCTTCTCTTCATTATCCACGACAGTCAACCAATTACCAATTATGTATATATATATATACTCCATTTTACTTCATCCCGAAAGTACTTGTACCTCGTGGATCCACCAGTGGCCTATACCTTAGTATTATTAAAAGTAACATTAAAACCGTTAAACATAAAGTTAAATAGAGTAACTTGATGCTAAAAAGAGAAAGGAGATACTTGGACACACCAAACGAAAGATTTAAATTATCCAGAGTCTCTTATTATGGAAATCTAGACATAATGTATAATCTCTACAACAGGTAGCAGTACTATAGTACTATTGTACAGGTAGTAAGTAGAACTAGCTCTAGGTCTAGAGGTACTTTACCAAGTTCCCGTTACTTTTTTACTTTCACTTACCTATTTATGAAGTACATAGTAAGCGAAAGTACGGCGACCGTGAAAAGTTTCGAATCTCAGTTTTCAACGGAAATACTCGTTTTGAGGTTCCCTGACTCCAAATAATCTAGTTCCGCAAATTGACCTCTGTGTGTGTGTGTGTGTGTTAACTGTCTAGCTCAAAAACGAAAAGTCTTACGCTAGTGAAATTGTATATTTAAAGATTTTATATGCTAGGGATGTTACAGAAACTTTTTCGTCAAAATCGGCTAACCGGAAGTGGCACTTTATATAACGGACTAAACACATTTTTTGCGATTCTCTCGAAAACGGCTCCAACGATTAAATTCATCATATCAGTGAAAAATTAATCATTTTAAAATAAAATTTAGTTTTTCATTCTGATTGATGTTTTATAACACGGCTTAAATGGCTAATTTTCAATATTACCTTCCCCTAAAGTACTTTTAATTTTTTTTATTTGAAACAATCGACCATTTCACATTAATCTCTAATATAAATTATATTTAAATATAAAATATGAAATAATTTGATAATTAACTAAAGGAGAAATAAGAGATCGTAACGGAGAATAGTTTTTTTTTTCTTTATATTTTTTTATTTTTTTTTACCATCACTACTTATGTTTCTCATACCTTGTTATCTGGTTATTTTCTTAGCCCTGATGAAGGCCTGAACTTCAGGTCGAAACGTCGGCATATGTAAAAATAAATATTATCATTTATTTTTGCCTTCTTTTTTGACTTGCCACCCCTTCTCTTCATTATCACGACAGTCAACCATTTACCAATTATTGAGAATAGTTGTCATTGATGAACCAAAGGAAAGGAGCTCATCCGAAATATTAGAACACGCTACCATACGTAACTTGAGCTTAATATAATAAGCACTCGTACAATATTATGTAAATATACATATACGGTTTTTATAGATGCTATTGTTGGCAATTTAATATTAAATTGAATAGATTACAGAAATATAAATATTAAAATTTGTATATATAATCGTACTTATAAAAATAAAAATACGCACAATCAAATATAAATCAATATAGCGTTCATAAGTTTTACTTTCAGTTCTCTTTGTCTAAAAATATTTATTTCTGCTAAGAGGGTGGTAAGTGAAAATTGTGAGATGAGCGCACCGCACCACATTATTTTTGGTATTTTCGTCAACTTGTGGTCCTTATTACAGCCGCTATCCTATAACTTGAAAACAATGAGGAATAAATTTGCACGAATTATACACCCAATGAATTAAAAATTGTATAAAATATAAAATGTACAAAATATTCCATTCCAAATTCTCACCTTAATTAATGTGATGTAGTTATATGATAATATATATGATACGAGGCGTGATTAGTAACAGTGCATGAAGTGACAAGAAACAGCTGTTACAATTGATACAATCTGTAACTGAGTATATCTGACACCTAACTAAGGTTTTCCCCGTTTCATTGTACCTGTTACGTGTCTGTAACCATGTACACGATTAATACAATCCAACCCATCTCCACTATTTTATAATAAATAAAGACACGTAAATTTCTTTATATCATTAATTTGCTAATTATAATGTGTATTAAAAATATAATCTAGTGATAAAAGGTATCTTTCAAGATTATAATTTTGAAGATAAGATGAATTTTGATCCAACACCAGTTCTGCAATATAATGCATGTATTTACGCCCAAAAATACACTCAAGTAGTTTGGTATTTATATTATATTTTAGTGATATGATATATTACTGGATGAAGTTGAATTGGTTCCCAGAATGTTTTGTCAGGTATCGTATAGCTCGAATTGGGTTTCGCCATCCAGTTGGACAAAAAGCTCAATTCTGATAACCTTTTCACCCAAACATTTCCCAAAATGAAATTCAATGGTGAGTATAATTGTAATTTGTCGTTTTAAAGCGATTGCCGTAATACGCTTAGAGGTGAGACTAGTGCGAAATAAAATTATTAATTATTATTATTAAAAATTATTAACAATTATTTTTAAAAAAATTAAAAATATTTTTCTAAATAAAACCTATATATCCTCTCAAGTCCAATGTGTCCGAATACGATTTTTGAGAATTTCTTTGTCTCATATCTTGGAACAATTTTTGCAAAGTCCTTTGGTCGATGAAGTTTGATACTTTTTTCTATTGTTAAATTTATGAGAATTTATCTACCTGGAAGCTGTTAATCCGATTATAAATTATCTGGTAATAGTAATTATCCTTCCGCCGTTCGTATTTGAGAAAGACATTTAGTCCAAAATTATAAAAAAAAAAAATCAAAGGTTATATTCATGGTTCATATCTTCAACCAGTAAACAGCATATGTTTGTAATTTATATTTATATTCATTCATACCCAAAATAATTCAACAAATACAAGTGAATTTTGCTGCCAGTATTACGTGTACGCTGATAAGCCGCACATAGTCGAAAAAGGTTCGGAACCTAATTCGAGCTCCTAAAAGATATATTGGGACCCAATTCAAGCCGTCTTCGGCATTTGGGACCAAACTCGAGCTATCCCGAGAATTGAATTTGGTGGGTTGTAAAGATCATATTGGCAAAGAACCAAAATTTATTATTATAATACATCTGAGTTTGTTATACCCACAATCCAAAACGAATAGCCTAATAATACTAATTATATTTTTTTTTTGGTTTATAGGAATCGTCTGGATACAGTTTTTAGTTGTGCACTTTCGTTGTATGGTGGGTATTCAAGAAAAAGTCATTAGGTAAGGATACACTTTGTGGGTCTCCGATTTAAACCAATTATTTTGGTATATTATTTTCAATAATGAACTATTGTGATCGAAGAAAAATTCAAAAACTTAACCCGCTCTCAAAATTTGAGGTTTTGCGTTTCAGCATACATAGAATTCGAAAAACGAAAGCAAATTTTTTTGTCCACCGTCCGTGCATTTTCTCCAAAACTACTAGACCGATTTTTTACAAATTTGGATTTAAAATCTGAGTTCATCCGAGGATGATCCTCCTTCATCGACATTTCTATCAGCCTGTTCCTTTCCAGATGGCGACCGAATAACCTGCGTTGCTATAGACTGTAGCGCCTAAACGAATGTACCGATTTCAATAAAACTTCGCTAAAGTCCTTCTTCTCGATGCCCTTTAAATTTATCTTTATAACATACTTCATCGACAAGAAGCTGGAAACGAGGTATGGTAAAATTAGATTCCGAATAACTCAAAAAGTATACGGAATTTCTTTAAAAAAAAAAAAAAAAAAATGTCTCTAGATGTCTTCTATAATAACCTTTATACTGCAAAAGTTATATCCTTTGTTTTGGTTTTTGATTTTTGAATGTGTTACTGAAGTAATGCTTTTTTTTTTTTTTGCATATTACTAATGATTAAAAAAAAATGTTTAGTACAATAATTGGAATCACCTTTTATTTATTTTTTTTTTTTGTAACTAGGAAGGTAATGTTACTTTAGATGTATAATTGTTTGGAAATAATAAACCATTGTGAAATAATTTGCCGTTCGTTCCAATGGGCACTAGGAGCCGAGAAAAAAAAATCAAACAAAAGTTATGTTATTTATTATTAATTATTTTGACTTTGCTTTGCCCGATTATTTAGCTTATTATATACCAACAGTTTTTTTGTTTGTTTTTTTTTACTAACCACCCCTAACCAGAAGGTGCTAAAATAAATTTTAGTCATAAAAAAGTAAGTTGGTGCCCGTTTTTTAGTGTCTTTTAAAACTCTTTAAAAGTACTATTTTTTATGGTAATCAATAATTGTAAATTTTATTACTTGATTTTTTTGGGTTTTGTTTTTTCGACCGTTTACTAAAGCGTTTTCAACTTATGATTCTACAAATTCAGCGTTAGTACAACCGTTTGAAAGATGAATTACTGCTCTTCCAACCCATATCAACATTTATTAGATTTTACTCCTTTTTAAGCCAGGAATTCAAACACATTTCTATAATATACTTTATAACTACTTCTCAAACATTTTAATTTTTTTTTATTAATATAATTTTTACTCAAGAAACCTTTAGGTTTAGGAAAGGTCAAGAAAAAATATTATATTTGGCAGACAACTATTTTATGGAAACAAATTAGGGCAACCGAGCTAGGTAGAAAGAATTTTCTCACCTCAAATTTACCTTTATAAAATTATTATTTTTTTAACTTATTTATTGAAAAATATTTCAATCTGTCTTAAGGACATTTATAATAGTATTCTGAGATCACATTCACACTCTATGTACAATAAATAAACTAAATTATACAGAAAAATAATATGTATACTATAAATAAGAATAAAATAACCAAAAATAAATAAATAAAAAGAACACATACATACCTATATACATACCTATTACCTATATATTCCTTATAAAATTATTATTAGAATCTTTAAAAAAAAATGTCCCACAGTATTGACCCGTTTACAACCGACACAATGGAGTACAATCATCGAGAACAAAGGTACTCCAGGACAATACCTGCTGATCTGAGCGATGGGTCTGGTACCCACCTTACAGGTACTGAACCTAATCTGAATACCGGATACCTGGGCAGGGGCCTAAAGAAACAGAGCAGAGCCTTTAGCAAAATATTGATCATTTTCTTCTCTGGACCACACCCGCGCTGTGACCAATTCTATCCCACCGTTACTGAAGCTTTGTAATAGATGTCTTACTGTCATTCAATACTGCATAGGCCTACTGCAACGAGGGAAAGGAATAATCCTGTTGTTTTTTACTGTCGGTACATAAATCTTGGTTTGGGACTTGCTTAGATAGAAGGCTATACTGTTAAGTTGTAACTATTACCACTAACGTTGAATGATATGTATTTTCTTTTTTTGTTTATTTAGAAATATAATAATCTGTCACATGGACAATAATTATAGTGATATATGAACACATTCACACCATATATACAGAAAATATAAAATTAAAAAAAGTAAAATAATAACTAAATAGTAATAAAAAACTATGTAAAATAAAAAATAAAATAACCTAAAGATAAGTAAATTAAAAACACAATCATACCTATGTACAATCAGGCAGGGATCCCCAAGCCAGGCTTCTCCTTCCAACTATAGAAGGAAAAGCAGGACTCCAAGAGATCCCTGCGCTACTCTCTCAACCGCGAAATAGTTTTAAAAAAATAATGGTCGTTCCGAGGTTGCTACAGATTTCGAACAGTTACTTCAACTTATTTTGAAAATGGTTTTATTTTGAACAACTTATAATATTAATAATATAAATACCCATAATGTGAAGGTCATGTGGCATTCACCTTGTATGAAATTGTCTTACTCAATTTATTTGTTTTGGCACCTAGCTCGTTATTGATGTATATTCTTCATCAGTATTCATATACATTAGGGTTTTTAATGACATGATGTATATCAAAGGAATGCTATATTAGTACATATTAAGATAGGTGAAGTATTTGGAAAACAGAATTTTCCCTGAACAAAAATAGATAAATCTAATTTAGTAACTAAATTTAATTAGAAAATATAAAATATTAAGAGGAGTAGGTCAATGGGTAAGACACTGACTTCTTCTGCCCAAGGTCCTGGGTCCGGCTGATGACAGGTAATTATTTATTCTGTTACATAAGCCTTGGATTGATTGACCGTGAGCTCGGAAGACCCTCTCTGGTCACACCCTGCCTCTATAAGGGGCAACTATTTGTTTAATAATTAATTAAGGTAGAATATATAGTTGTTGAGCGTGATCACTGTCCTATCACATCCTTGTCCAACCATTGACCTTGCAACATTACTTCCTTTCAAAATACTGAACTCAAGACCCTTAATGGGTTCCAGTGGTATACAAAATAATAATAATAATAATAATGCTTACAGAAATCTCTTTGAACAAAAGTAGATAAATTTAATTTAGTCACTAATAAAATTTAGTTTTTTTTTCAAAACCTATTTGGACTTACGCATCACAGATATTTGGAACTGCTAAAAAGACTCACTTAAACAAGCTTCAAATCTTTCAAGCAAAAACATTCAGAACAATTACAAAAACACCTTGGTACGTTAGCAACATAACCTTACATACTGACCTCCATATGCCGACTGTTAACGAACACATACGTACTCACTACAAACGATTCCATGACAACTTACAAGGACATCCTAATACACTTATAAATGACATGGCCACTACGGATATGCAAGGTAACGTCTGTAGGAGACTGAAGAGGAGCTGGATGAGGGACCTCCTCGCCTAATGTAGATATCACGCCGAGTGAGGTGCCGCTGGGCACTGATCCTCCTCATGCCTTTCATGACATTATATTTAGCAATCGATCTCACATTCACCGGTTGTCATTACCATTATGACAGGTGTGAATAAAACATTAAAGCTAAAAAAAAAAAAAAAAAAAAATGTTTTTTTTCATAAAATTTTTACAAAAAATCGGATTAAAAAAATAATAAAATCATCAAGTAAAGAACTAGAACAAACAACGTTATCCAAAGTTATTAAAAAAAAAATTATGTTTTCATTAGAAAATTATCTGCCTCCAATTACTCAGCTAATATCCATGATCAATATTCTGATCTGGGAAGTAACGTTTGATTCGTTTGATTGAAGTCATAGCTTCAGCAAATGTAACATTTTCTTTTTGCGCCTTAATAACAGAGATTAACCTCTCTTTCTTTGTGTTCCAGCCCTATTGGGTATTCGTCACCCTTGAGGTCCTCAGTTATTGGATCTATTTCAGTGCACTGATAATCGCTACTCATTTTTATCTATTGATACATAATCAGAAATAGGATGACCTAATCCTGTAAACGAAAATTCCTTCTTAAGGTAAGTGTAAAGTCTGAGTGTCTATTACTGGTGCAATATACGCTGTCAGAATTGTCTATGTTTTTCATGAATAATTAACTAATTGACTGCATAGAAAAAATATTTTACAAAAGACTAAATTTGATATCGATTAAACCCATTTGCAAGGATCCAGCATCATAACTAAAGTTTTTTTTTGTTTTTTTTTTTAAGTGAATACTTTCTTCCTTCGCGTGTTACACTTTTTCGTGGAAAGTGAAATAGATTGATGCGCCAGATTTCCGAAGTTTTAACGCTGGGTTAAAGCCGGCTAGAGTCGACTAATTTAAATGTTTTTACATATGGATATAAATATCTCAGAAATTAAAAATCGAGCCTGCATACTGCAGGAGATTTTTCACTATTTCATCCTTTCTGTAATAAGACTATAATTCAGAATTGTACCTTTACGGAACGCCGTGTCAGTGAGCCGAATAGGAAAAATAGTGTTTAAAACGAAATTATAACGAGGTTAGTTGAATATATGGATTAAAATATCTCAGATACTAAATTCGGAAGTGTAAGCGAGGGAAATGTTTAATATTTCATCTTCTTTGTAATGAGCTATAATTTATAATTCATATTTCATATTATTAATCTCGCTTTATTGATGTATTCACTTATATCGTGTGGTCTAAAGCACACATCTTAGTTTTTTTTGCTTGATCGTCTTGAGTTCTTTCAGCCATGCGACGTCTAGCATTAGTTCGAACGTCCTGTAGTCCGGAACAAGTCAGTAGGTGCAGAATTCTCATTGATCTTTTTCGACACAGTTGGTATGTTGCTCCATCAACATTGGTATGCTGATTCAACAACTCCGGTACGGTGGAGGTTGCTTTGGGGTAAGTCATGTCTAGTCTTCATCCTAAACTGTACAGCAGTGTGAGGCCTTCTAGGGAGGTCCGTTAAACTAATGCTGTGGCTCAAATTATTGTTGAAAATTTCTGTTAAAGTGCCCATTACATTTACCTTAAATAAGAATAAGGAAAAAAGTAAGAAGATGCTAGTTTTAATCATTTTAAACTTACGATTTCTTGAAGAACCTTAGAAAAAACATTGCACTTTATTTAGAGTGTCCCTAAAAACAAGTTTCAAAAGTGTTGTTTTTGTATACTCCAGTGTCGGTAAAATTGTTCTCTGAATAGAACTTTCAGTAGAAATAAAAAAATAAAAAAAATTGTCAATTCTTAAGAATACCACTTTACTTAACAGAGATATTTTTATGCTCGGTATTTTTTTAATTTGTCAAGCTAAAAATACATTTTTATCTTTCCATTTATTTTCCATGGAGATTTCATTTAAATTCTATGGAAACATTTATTTCTCATTCTATAGTAAAAATAAGTAATAAAATTAGCTATTATTAAATACAACAGTAAAAGGCATTATTTTTATGTTACTTTCCATTTCCTTTTTGTATTTATTTGTAGGTACACCTAAGTGTTACCTCAATTTTTTTCCAGTATGCGATTGGATGTTATGAAGTGATGTGATCTTAGGTTTGCTTTCTTTTCTATCCTGATGAGAACTGAATTGGCGAAAAGTTGACGTGCTATTTAATAACTTAAGAGATATAATATACATTTATAATGTAAAAGTAAGAAGTAATTTTGAACAGGCTATGGTAGATGATTTTAATTCATGGCTAAGCAACCAAAATATATATACTAGAATGTTGAGTTGACGTGTTAACGATCGAGGCGTTCAAAAGAACCGGATCAAACGGTGCAAAGCAAGACTAAGGGCCAATATAAAAATATCTAGATATAATTAGATTTGGTAAACGGTTAATAAAGAAAATATAAGCGACTGTTCTGGATTCCTGGCAAACTCCTGGATTGCAGACCGCCAAGTTATATCTCAGCATCTAGTAATGGTCTCATACTGCACATACCGAACACCTGTAGTCCCAGCTCCTCCAACTTCTTATAACAAACCAAATGCAATCCTCAGAAATATCTTTTTGCCTTGTTTTTTTTTTCTGTTTGCCTTCCATTCCTATCCTTTTATTGCTTGTTATGAACTATCTTCTACTGCCCCAGCTGGCTCTCTTCTATTCACTAACCAACATAAATTCTCTTTATGTAATTTTCACATTTTAACATCTGACATATCTGTCATGGTCTCAATCTTTCCATGTCTAATGATGGTGGTAGAATGGTTCTTTTCGGTATTTATATATTTAAATTTTTAGTGTAAATACTAGCGCTCTCGCTCAAACTCCACTGGCTTTATCAGCAGTGAAGCGGTTAAGAGAGTAGCGCTGGGATCTCTTGAAGTCCTGTTTTTCCTTCTATAGTTGGAGGGAGAAGCCTGGTTTGGGGTTCTCTGCCTGATTCTATATAGGTATGATTGTGATTTTATGTTTTTAATTTATTTATCTTTAGGTTGTTTTATTTTTTATTGTACATAGTATCTGATTATTATTTTACTTTTGTTAGTTTTATATTTTCTGTATATATGGTATGAATGTGTTACATCATATATCACTATAATTATTGTCCACGTGACAGATTGTTATATTTCTAGATAAAAAAAAAAAAAAGTGTAAATACTAAGAAGACGTATTTTGTTATTTAAGCCTAGTTTCAAATGGCGAGTAGTAGCAACTATAAGCTATTAGTAACTATTTCTGCCGTGGTATATTGTCAAGACAGTGAGACAATAATAGTATCCTTGTCTACACGCAGTTAGTTAACCAAAAAAAAGGTGGAAAATATGTGAAATCATGAGCATTTTGACAAAGGCAACTTATTTATATATATTTCTTTTAAACTTGTTTATTGAAAAACATTACAATTTGTTTCAATTAAGGACACTTATAATA